TAAAAGGCGCAGGTTCTGGCTTCCCAGGCCCTCCATTGACTCAGTGATTTGGGACTATCTGCTTCCCCTGCCTGAGCCTGTTTCCTTTTATGTAAACGAGGCTTATCATCCCTGGCAGTGATGACCGGGGCTATTGGACCCCAACCTCTTCAGTGTACGGACAGGGAGACTAAGGACCAGCTCGATCAAGGCTCTGAGGCCGGAGCTTCCAAAGTCCCAAACTGGGTTCTTTCCGATTTTGCCTCCTAGCAGGAGCCACCTCCGGAAGCACACGGGCTCCTGTGCTGCTCAGGGACCAGTGCCAGGATCACAGAAGGGGTGACAGTCCACCTGGACTCTGGAGAGGGTGCACTACTGGGGGCGGGAAGTAGCGATATCACCAAAGACCATACCGGGTCGCAGAGGCTCCAAGACTGCGAGATCCGCTATCCAGCCGAAGAGCAGTGTCTGTACAGAGGGAGGAGGGTGACAACCCCAACCAATAGGGCAACAGGTTGGGCCGGGCGTTGGCCAATTACGTGGGCCGCTCGGCTTTCAACCAGGAAGCAAGTCTTCAGAGCCAGCTTTGAGGGAGGATGTGAAGAGTCACGTGAATGGAGCTAAAGCCAATAGAGAAGCAGTTGGGCGGGCGCTTCCGGGTTGTGCCGCGAGGCAAGTGGACAAATAGGGATTTTAAAAAATGAGTTATGTCACGTGTAACCAGTGATTTGGCCAATGGCAATGCTCGAGGACCCGGAAACGGGAAAGGCAGCCTCTCAGGTTCGCAAGTGCTCCAAGTGGAGCCCGGGGGAAGAAGGCGGAGCTAGGCTGGAACACCAATGGAAGTGGGAATAGGCGGGCTCGCGCCTGCGGTAGTTGAACACGTGAGGCAGGTGCATGGCGGACTCGGTCCTGTTCGAGTTTCTGCACACGGAGATGGTGGCGGAACTGTGGGCGCACGAGCCCGACCCCGACCCCGGCCCCGGGGTGAGCGCCGGGCCCCAGGGGGAGGAGGCGTGGGCCGCGGCGGAAAGGCAGGATCGAAGCCCGGAGGAGCGCGGTGGGCGCGGCAGCAGCCCGGGACGAACCCCGACCCCGCCCCTGTCTCGCTGGGCGATCTGGGGCGCAGGCTTCCTCCTCTGTAGAGTAGGGGTCCCAGCCGGGCCGGTCCCGCGGGTTACTTCTAGAATTGAGTGAGACAGCTCGGGGTAAAGCTCTTAGCTCAAAGCCTGGCACAGAGTAAGCGGGTAGTAATTATAATAATTACTATTATGGGATGTGTACTGAGGACTTCTGGGTTGAATCCTGCCTGCGCCACTCACTAGGTGTGAGAGCCATTGACTCATCTCATTGTGCCTCAGTTTCCTCCTTTATAAAATGGGCATCATAACAGCGCCTAAGTCTCCGAGTGGGACATTTATTCATTCAACAAACACTTATTGAGCGCCTATTATATTCCAGGCACTGTTTCCCTGTCCTCAAGAAGCTTACATTTCAGTAGGGGCGTCAAACAATAAATAACATATAATATGCCACCAGTTAGTGAGAAGTTATGTAAAGAAAACCAGTAAAGTCAGGGAAGGAAAAGCCATCGAGTGGTGGATGGTGGAGGAGAGCATTTCTGAGGAAGAGAAGGGAGGAAGCAAGCCCCCGGGATAAGTTGGGGGAAGAGCATTCCAGGAAAAGGGAACAGCAGGTGCAAAGCTCTGAGGTAGGAGCATGCTTAGCATTTTGGAAGTCAGTCCTTATGAAGAAGAAATGAGCTCAGGCTTCTTAGTGCGATGTCTAGCACATAATCAGCCCTCAAAACATGGGAGCTCTTCTGTTACAAAAAGGAAAGGATTGGGGCAAGTAGATGCTTAATAAATGGGGGCTGTGGTCACTCTTCTCATTATTCTTACTGTGATCATCATCATCTATATACAGACCATTTTTTTTTAAAGATTTTATTGGGGAATTGAGGGAGGGGAACAGCGCTGGGGAATCGG